TCGGCGGGCTATGGACCCGCTGATCGCCTATATGTGAAACACCCGGTAACGGGTGTGTTTAATCGTCGGGTCTTTTCTGCCCGTGCGTGCCCACTAGGGGGCGCGCACGAGCAGAAAAAAATTGCCGTCTGGAGACGGCAACCCGCAGATGTAGCAGTGCCGTCCGTCCGTTTTTTTACTACGGGCGGACGGCAAGAGGTTAAATGTGTTTTTGTAACAGTAGCAATCTGTCTTTTATACTTTCCCAATATATCTATATATATATGATTATATTCATGTTGTTTTTCTGTTTTCACACATACGCCGCTATTTAATGGGCAAGCTTTCCAACAAGGGATGAGATTTGGGATTTGCCCAATAATGAATTTATGGTGAATTTCTAACATTTGAGTTAACAATAAACAGTCATTTTGGGTGAATTTTGGCTCTGACGCATGAAGGGTGGGGGGTTGATAACTCAGTCCCTCCCTCTAAAAGAGTGGCCTGAGAGCAGCCATAGTGTCAGTGTGTATGAGCTACTGTAGGAAGTGGATAGATTCTGGGTCCAATGAAGACATTTCTTCTGATTGCTAATCCGATTCCTACTCCAGTTATAACTCAGACCTGTCAATAGCTTATAGATCACTCGTCTTCTGCCTGCCTTAATCATCTACAAATAATAAGATGTGTGTCCCACAGCAAAACCCAAAACACCATGCAGGGGCCCCTGATGACCGCGAGCTAGTCTTTAGTCTCTGCTTCTGGAGCTACGACTTGTGATGACGAGTCTAAAATGCCAGCACCAAAATTGGAGCTTGTTATAAATACTTATGTCTCACGGTGGATCCTTTTTTTGTTGGGGTTTTTCTTATATGGATCGGGCTATATAATAGTTTGTATGTTTTTGCCAGAGTAGATATAGGTTTATGGGTCTGCTAAAACACCTTTTTTTATTCGTGCTTGCATGTCTTTTAACATATTGTGTTATTAGAGATGCACCAAAATGGAATTTCTAGACCAAAATCGAAACAAAATGTAAAATTTGTCAGGCGGAAACCAAAAATTTAATTTTTCAACCTATTAAAATGCAGAAGGACTTCAACTCAGCCGATCCAACATCTGGATCGGCTGAGTCGAAGCTCCGGCAGCTCACTCACATCTCATAGGGGCCGAACGGCAGTGAGTGAATAGCCGAATGCTATTCTCAGCTATCCTGCTCGGTGAAATCAGTGAAAATTGTAGGAGGAAAAAAAAGGTTGCACATTTAAAAAATAAATAAAATAAATAGTCAAATTAAAAAAGAATAAAAAAGATTAAAAAAAGAAAAACAATTGGGGGGAGCTGGCAGTGGCAGTTAGCACCGCCCAAATGTTTCCTATTGGCCGCCACCTGCTAGAGTCTTCTAGCAGGTCCCAGCCAATGAATAACAACAGGGCGGAGCCGGTCGTGATGTCACGGCTGGCTCCACACAGTTGTTAGTGTTTAATGACAGTTCAGCGTCCCCAGGTCATTTAGGGACACTGTTCTGTCATTACAACTGGGCGGACTAAAACTCTGATGAAAATACATTGCAATTTTCTTTACTGGAGATTTAAATCGACAAAACTAAACTAAAACTAAAAGAATTCAGATGACTAAAATGCGACTAAAACTAAAATGTGTAGTTTAGTCAACTGAACTCTTTCGTTTTAGTTTAGTTTTGTCGATTTAAATCTCCGGCAGAGAAAATTGCAATGTATTTTCGTCAGAGTTTTAGTCCCATTAACTTAGTTTTTATTTAGTTTTCATCAGTGAAATCACGCAGATGACGCAAACTATGACGAAACATTTTAGTCGACTAAATTAGCACTGCTTTATTGAAGGTGATATGCTCAGTGGGATTTTAATTTTTAATCGCTTTCAAATGACACTGTGCACCCTTAAAATAATACACAAGTTGATTTATTGAATGCAGAGTACAAGAATAACATTCTTATTAAGCTTAGTAAGAGTACTGTATTGCAAAACACTTGAAAAATTATTGTGAACAGACGTGTCGAACAATTATGTTTCACAAAGGTCCACAGCTTTTGCAAATTTTTATTACTTAAGTGTTAAGTAAGGCATGGACTATACAGAACATCAACCTTTTTGCCTATATATCATGCAGTAATTGTTACATGCTAAAACAGATCAAATAGAATAGATGTAACTAATAGAAATTCTGTAACAGATAAACTAAAACATGACTATGAGGGCTTGTTCACACCAAATGCGGACCAGATCTGCGAGAGTTTCTGCACATGCAGTGCAGTGTGTTATGCCACATTTTTTACGCTTTCCGGGCTGGTTTTTAAAAAAGAGAGCTTTTAGTGCGTTCCAGGGCGATTGCATGCGTTTTTCATACGTTTGCATGTGTTTTGGTGCATTCCAGAGCAGAAAAAAATAGGGCATGCTGCAGTTTTTCCACATGCCCCTGGAACCGAACGCTCTGGTGTGAACTAGAGCCCAAAATACCATTGGAATACATTGGATGCATTTTTGATGCGTTCTGTAACTACTCTGCATCTGCTCCGCACTTGGTGTGAACAAGCCCTTAGAGAAACCGTGGATGATGTATAAATAAAATCTTGCAATAGTGAGCACCACACAGCAGCTTATACAAAGAGCTTTTAACATATTACTAATTGATATATTATTGTTAAAACAATTATGATGCAATTAAGGAGGGAAAGTAGGGGTATTAAAGTATTTCTAGCCAAGTCAAAACAGGCTCATCTCCGGGCAGAGCAGAACCCCCAACAACCATGTGGTAGCTGAATTAAAGTAAATACCTTCTGCAGCTCTTTTTTTGCTCACCCAAGTACGCCGTTTATATGCCTCACCAGCAGCGCTTTCGGGTGTGCCGACCAGAAATCCAGCACTGCAGTCTATACCCACCAATTAGTTGAGTCTTCCTGACATGTCTACATTGCAGTCTTCTGGATCCAGAGTGAAGAGCAAATAAGTGAAGTTCACCTCACCAATGAAGAGGCAAACACACCATAGAAAGATGACTTGGGACAGGGTAAGTCATGTGACCATTTATTTAGGTAGGTGCACCCAGCATTCAGCTTTTAAGTAAACCTGAAATGAGAGTACTAGGCTGACTGTTATGACCAACCTCCTTGCGATACTTCTAGCTAACTGTCACTTTGACTTTAATACTTTGAGTAACTGACCCAGAAGTTTGTAGCAAGCGAAGTTAGAACTCCAGACTTGTCTACTTACTGAAAGCTTTAAAACCAGAGTAACAACAAGACAGCAATTAGCATTTTCTAAAGGAAAGGTCAACAAAGCAATCTACATGCTCCCTTCTGTACAGATTTTTTCTGACACTAGCATAATCTTACTGGTGATAATCAGATATCGCTACACCTGGACGTGTTATCGCTACACCTGGACGTGCATTCTGGCTTCTGATGCCCAGGAGGCCAGAACCAAAGTAATATTAGATCCTCTTCAAATATCTGATTGGTGAATTTATGCTTTAATACTTCCAACTCTACTCTAAACAAAAATCTGGTTGCTGTGAATTACTTTACATATTACAACTGCTCTTGACATTGCTCGCTTGCATGAGCCTGCATGTGTTTCCAGGTTAAAAGACAACATTTCTTCCTTCCAGCTTAATACTTAGGGATTATTTCATTAAAACAAGTACAGTACAAGTCAATGTTGCATTCATTTAATTCTTCTAAAGAAACTGCTTCATTTTAAAAGGATCAGACCATACAGAACTGAAGCATAACTGTGATGAAGCATCCAACTAACAAGAACAAAGGAGTTCCAGAAGCACGCTTCGCAGTAACTCCTTCTGCCCCCTTGTAACAGAGTGACCATGCTAAGAATTGAAGTTATGGTCTCCAAGCCTCCAAACAAATGCAGACTTTCAGGGCAGAATGCAGTCTGATTGGTGGCTGTGCAGTGGGAGGTTAAATCCAGCTCTTAGTAATTGTATTTTAATGTGTTTAGCCTTACCCCCAATTTTTTTGTATTATAAAACCAGCATGTGAACTTCTAAAATGATAGTGACATTGGGAACATACTGTATAAAAGAGCGGAATGCAGGAGGATATTTCCCATCACCACACTCTACTTTGTAGGCCTTGAAATCTCATATTTTGCTATTAATTTTAATAATTAGTGCTCCATTCAAAATAAGCATTTTCATATTAATATGTATTCTGCACACATCAAAAAAATCGAAAAACGCTTGCATTTCCAATGACAAAACTGTTGCAGAGTTTGATTTTATGGAAACCTGCACCAATTACTAAATCAAAAGGCTCCTGCCTGGGTCATCATTCAATTCCACAGTGACACAACTGATGCCATCATTCAGTCTTTACCCAACAAGCCCAAAAGGTAGTATGATTTCTAGCTGTGTGCATGTTCCTAATCTACCACCACTTCTACAAGTCAGGATCCAGTGCTGGATGGAGGTTTCATCTATAATACAAGTCAGCCATGCTAACACATTCTGACAGGTTCCCTATACTAACATTCTATCTGGTTCCCTTTGTTATAAACTATGTTCTTACATTAATGCCATCATTTATATTTGGCTGTCCTTTGCCAAACCACCTCATTTTCAGTCAACATTGTTGCAGTTGCATTATACTGCAGATGGTGTTGTAATAAAAGGACATCTACACATAACATTTAATAAAGATGTCTACTCTATTACACATTACAGCAAAAACAATACAATTCAGCTACAAAGTCCATATTTTATATACACAGTTATTTTCAAATATACAGTGGATGCCAGTCAGCTATAGGCTGCCGAAGAGTCTGCATCATCATGTCCCAATGGCTTGACTTGGTCTTTTGGTTGCCCAGTGAAGTTTGTCCAATGAGCTTCCTCCCATTGGCCACATTTTCATACAGTGAGATGAGAACCAGACAGTGAGTTTTCCCTGGATCAGGAAGGCTGAAGAGAAAGGTTTCATTGAAAACGGTCACCTTAGACTTTGCTCGAAGACTGGATTTCTGGTGCTTTTGCTTATGTTGGTTGCTGAAGACATCTATTCTGGCGTACACATCTGAAATGCAAATAGAAGGAGGAAAAATAAAAATTTCTGGAAAGTTTCAAATGCTCTCTGTGATCACATTAAGAGGATTTTCTCTCACTCCCTGTCCCTGTGATGTCCATACAGGCAATGAGGAGTGGGGGGCGGGGTCATCATATGGATAGGAAGGCAGAGGCAACAATCAGAGCCAGGTTTAGACTATATCCATATTTTTTTCTCCCCTACATCAGCTACCTTGTGCACCCTTCCCTCCCATTCTCGAAACAAACACAGCACCAAAATAAATGTACAATATTATAGCAATACCGATAGCAGGATCATGATTACACCTATAAAAGTTGATTACAATCCAAATTAACAAAATCACAGCTATCAACATGTCCAGAGAGTGGCTTTGTGTGAAAAAAAAATTGAAAACGATTGTGCGGAGCAAGCAGTGACAGCTAGCACCGCCCAACTGTTTTTTATTGGCCGGGCGGTTCTGCTGCTGTCAAAAAAAAAAAAAAAGACAGATCACAAGGAAAGGTTTACTCTGCTCGACCGAGCAGAGTAACCCAGATAGCAAGTAATTGAGCTGCAAGTTTGAAAATGACTTGCTAAACTATTATAGAGAAAGTGTTTCTCTCCTGGGCAGCTGGGAGCCTATTAGACTCCCAGAGTGTCCGGGGGAGGAATGGCAGATGGCCATATTGTTTTCAATGCGAAAACGATACAAGCTGTTTTTCGTTTCTGACAAAGCATTCGAAAACGAAAAACTTTTAGTTGCACAAGTCTAGTGTCTTCTCTGCGATCATCTAAGGCTGAACTATATATATGCGAACTGTAAAAAAAAAGTTTATTATGTGTGCTGGGGACTTGGGAGGGGGGAGGTATTCTGTGTTCTGGAGGCTTGGGAGGAAGGGGGGGTGTATTATTATGTGTGCGGGGGGAGATTGGAATGGGGGAGTGCATGTGCACGCCTGCATACCGCATATAATCGTATGTGATATGATTACATGCAGTTACAAAAACAATCACTATCCCTGGATACACAACCGTGTATCCAGGGATAGTAATTGATTCCGAACTGCATGTAATTGTTTCACATATGATTACATGCGGTGTGCAGGCGTTTACATGCAGCAGCTGCCACCCGATCATTCATTTGAATGGGTGACAGTTGCCGCTTGTAACATGTGCATACATCAAAACTGGTACCGTATATAGTAGCGGCCCCCACGGGACTAAAAACAATTTGTCCAGTGGCCCCCGACTAAATTGAGTTTGAGACCCCTGCTCTAGACATAACCAAAATCATAAAGTCTGTTTGTGTGCATTCCCAAACTGAACAAATAAAAATATAGAAAAAAAAATCAATCATCACATACAGAAGGTCCTTCTCGGTCATACGTAATCCCTATAACACCCTATAAACATTATTACATAGTTACATAGTATTTGAGGTTGAATAAAGACATTAGTCCATCAAGTCCAACCTATTAGGATCTCATTCTAGGAATACCTGTACCCCTGTATATTACAGTCCTTTAAGAAATCGTCCAAAAGTTTCTTGAACAATTCCACATTATTTGCTGAAATCACCGCCTGTGGCAGTGAGTTCCAGACCCTAACTGATCTTACTGTGAAGAACCCCCTTCGCCCCTTGTGCTGGAATTTTTTTTCCACCAATTTTAGGTGATGGCCTCTAGTTTTTGTAATGGAGTTAATTTTAAACAGTTAATTATTATAGATTTGTTAAACTTTAAAAGTGGAATTGATTTTAGGATAATAACCTTTTCCCACTGCTCGCTCCAAAGAACATTCTTATGTTTTTATAGTGAACGCAGCACTCTTCCCTGGCTTAGTACCTATCTTTCAGACAGTCGGTTTACTTTGAGACAGATCTGTCACACTGCTCTATGGGTAAATGTGGCCCTCTGCTGGTAAACTGTTAATAGGTCGTTTGATAGTTACTGCCTATCACCAGCCACAAATTTTTTGTAACTTTTTTTCTCAGTTATGGAACTGAGTCAAGATTTCTGTTGGTTTTTAATTTCGAACAATTAACATTCTGTCCCACACTATCGCCCCAAATCAGTGTAGTAGGGTGCGCGGCTAACAGTGGCACCGTATTTATCTAAAGCAGAACTAGCCAACATCCAAAAACAGAGCCGTTAATGCCATGTATTTGCAGGAAATCTATGTAGAAGCCACACTGCCCTGTCAATTTCTGGTTTTTACTTTCTGCCTTTGACCCCATTGGGGAAACTCTTTTTTTTATTTTTGTCTCTGTAATACCCATACAATACATTTTCGGTGCACATAACACCAGGAAAAGAAGGCACAGATAGTTATAAAACAAGTTCTGAGCCTTGCTCCCTGTACTAAAATAGACCCTAGTTTTTGTCTGTATACCAGCTGGAGATATTTCCTAATACTTTTACTGCTGACAGGAAGATGGGAAGTGAGGGGAAATCTCTCCAAAAGGGCACCAGATGGCAATAAAAACTGCTAAAAGGCACTAACCCCATTCCCACGCTATACAAGGCTAAAAAAAAAGTTAGGGCTGAAGTTGGGCTTTAAACAAAGCATTTGTTGTGTATTTTGTTAAGTGGACTTTGAATGATAGGGTATGATCTATTTTCAATAATGAGGCAGGCATTTCAGAGGGAAGTAAACTCAGAAGAAATTTGCCTCTGAGCTGTAAATATAACCTGATGCTAGAGTGGTATGCCATGTGATCAGAAGAACAGTCACAACACCATCAGCAGACTTTATATTTACCAATGTCACTGATGATGTTGGCACCTTAGTGCAAAGCGAACGCTGGTATGTGTTCACTCTCTTCCCAATCTACTGAGCCGACCTGTGACAGTCTCATTGTCACAGGTCGGGTAGAAAGGGAAAAGCACTTATGTAAGCACCATGCCCGTTCCACAAATGCGCCAAGTACCGCTAGGCAGAAGAATACGCGCATGCGCACAACGACCACTTCCCACAGAAAGACGCGCAGTATGGCGCACAGGAAGTGATGCGAAGATGGAGCGTGTTCTAAGAAAAATGTGCCAAAGGCGCACAGGAAGTGATGCGCAGATGGAGCGTATTCTACGAAAAATGTGCCAAAGGCGCACAGGAAGTGACATAATTGATTAGTTAACTTCCCTATTTAAACCAAGCCAGCCTGTCACTTACTTGCTGGATTGTCTTATCAGCTCCTGTCTCTGTTGTGTCTCCTGTTTCCTGTCTTGAATATTAGATTGCCGTTGCCTGGATTTTGACCCGTTCCTGCCTCCACTACCTGCCTTGACTGCCGCCTGCCTTTTTGACCCTGGACTGTTTTGATTATTCTTCTGCCTCTTCCTTCGGTACTGCAACTGACCTCCTGGATTTTGACCTCGGCTTGCCTCGACTTTGAATTCTGGATTACCCTTCTACTTGCACGGTTTCATAACTACTGGCACTCATGCCACTCGGTGTCTGCCTGGCCTCTGTCACCATCCTCAAAGGCTTTTAGACACGAGGTGCAAGGGAAGCCTCCTCAACCATCCAGTCTCCCAGACCAGGTTCCTAATAACTTACCTCATAGTTCTCCTTTAACAATGACAGTTGCCTCCTACCTTATGAGTTTTTCTGTAGTCTAGTCTTGGAGCTGGAAAAGTATCAGTACTTGTACCAAGTACAGTACTTGGTATCTTTGTATCCCTAATATTTACAAATAAATGTTTGACACATGACAAAGGGTTCCCAGAGCACTATGAGACTGCACAGAAGATCAGCTAGTTTTGTAGATCCTTTTAGCTTACCAAAGCCTTTACTAAGCCATCGACAAATGATAAATCATCGCTCTAATTAGTTATTGAGGTCTGTAAACAACCACCTACTTTCAAACATAGATAAAACGGAAATTGCACAACTGTGAAAAGAAGACTAGAGTCCCACATACTGGTTGAATATTTGAATATTGAATATTTTATATTTACGCGACTAAACTTTTAATCCCGACAACAATTAATAAAAAGAGACCATACATTCCAGCGCTCAGCAAGCAAACATAAATGGAACATGAAATGTTTTTGTGTGTTCACGGTCAGTTTAACATGGCAGTACATACAAGAACATGTGGACATCATTGATACTGTATAACATTGACAAGAAGGAATGTCCCAATGCCACTTTTTCAGGCCCAAGTACAAGTACATCCCCTCATGTACTTGCCGATACCAATTGCCGATACTTTTTCTTAAAGGGACAGGTGACTTTAAATGATCCATAGTACAACTACATGTTATGTACTATGGATCATGATTTAACCTATTCGTGTTAGCAGTGGAGAATTTTAAATCTATTGTTGGAGTGTAGTGGAGGTGTGTGCTGTATATATGTACTACATATACATTACACACGTCCAGTACACTCCAGCAATAGATTTACAGCCAGCCCCTGTCCCAGCTACAGTACATATAGATATACAATTCTGCACTGCTAACATGAATGGGTTAAATGATCCGTAGTACAGGGCATCATGTGCTATGGATCATTTAACCCATTCATATTAGCGAGGGAAAATTGTTGCAGTGTATTCTATATGTAGTATATAGTACATGTACATATAGAGTGCCTGAAACAATACATTTACAATTATACTCTGCTAACATGAATGGGTTAAATGATTCATAGTACAGGGCAACATACAGCAGATCATTTAATCCATTCATGTTAGCAGAGTATAATTGTAAATGTATTGCCTGCACTGTATTAGCAGTGTGTACTCTATATGTACTCTATATGTAGTACATATAGAGTATATACTGCTAATACAGTGCAGACAATACATAATTGCTTAATAGAAACCCCCAACAATCTGCCCTCATTCACTGTGGCGGACAGAGCAGGGACGAGTCAACGGCAGCGCTGGGCCAGTGGGAGACCTCACCTGGAGCTCTGCCCACCGGAGCAGCAGTAACGCGACGCTCGGCGAGGTAAGTAAGAAAAAAACATAGCGCAAGCTTCGGCGCTATGTATCGGGGCATTTTGACAAGTACTTGTCAAAATGCCCTGTATCGGGCCCGATTCCGATGCTAGCATCGGTATCAGGACATCCCTAATGACAAGTAAAGTACAGACAATGTGTATAACTGCGAGTCAGAGCCTGGATGTGTATAGCAGGAGTCAGAGCCTGGATATGTAATGAGCTGAACCCCATAAGCATATTAATTACAAATTATACAGAGAGACATTGTTTTTTAAAACATTAGCATGCATTCACAACATTATCTACATTAGGCTGAATTCCTCTGTATGTATAACTGAAAATAAAACAATTTAAAAAAAGATATTCCCTTTAAAGTAGCCTAAGCAAATAGGCTAGGACAGTGATGGCGAACGTTTTTGAACCAGAGTGCCCAAACTGTGACGCAAAATGCATTTATTTATCTCAAAGTGCCAGCGCTGAAAAAAGTATAGTATTGTATTGCAGTTTGGGCACTGGGCTTTAAAAAACATTCAAAATCACTGCCATAGGCAAAATAGGGAAACACACATATTCAAACATTTATACACTCAATAAAACACACATCACACACTCATTATAAAAAAAAACACACATACATAGATATCACACACATTAAAAACACACGCACACATCGCACACGTAATGAAACACACACATTAAAACACACACATCAAAAAAAAAACACATTAAAAAAATATTTTTAATTGAATTTTTTTTTTAACTCTTGGGGGGGCTTCGGGGAAATATTAGGGGTCTAAACAGCCCCCTGATATTTCCTTTTTAAAATAGAAAAAGAAATTGAGGACACAAAGTCCTCAATCTCTTTTTTTGCAGTCTCTATTATAAATGAATGGAAAGCACAGAAGCTTCCCATTCATTCAGAAAATATTTACTATCAAGCAGTTTCTGAATGGGGAGGAGCCTCTGTACAGAGTGCTTCTCCCCATTGGGAAACTCATGAATGAACAAGAAGTGATGTAAATCAGGTCATGTTCATTCATAACTGGGGACACATAGTACTATGTGTCCCAAAGTTATTTACAAACACTGGAGAGATAAGCTGAACCCTCCAGTGTTTGTCCTGCACAGAGGTCTGGTACATATCACCCATATGTACCGATCCTCTGCTGCTCGGCCACGCACAAAGGGGTTCGGTAATATATTAAATAGAATCTGGGCACCTGCCAGGTTGAAAGATGGCCGCCGCGATTCGCAGCGGCCATCTTTAACAACTTAACATGACTTTACAGTGACCTGCACCCGGAGTGTGCGGGTCACTGTAACCGGGACCTAGGCTCGCGTGCCACCAGAGGGGCCTCTGCGTGCCCTCTGTGGCACGCATGCCATAGGTTCGCCACCACTGGGCTAGGAGATATTTATATATATTTAAAGACAATATACAGTTCTTGTTAGAATGAAAATTTACATAGAAGTGGTACAGTGCAGCAATTCATCCTATTCCATCAGACAGAGCAAGCCTCAAGGCGGGAGGCTTCTGCGGTATTATGTCTTTACATAACCTATAGTGCTCTGGGAATCCATTGTTAGAGTTTAAATGTTTATTGTGTGTAACAAATATTGTATACGTATGGTAAAAACAGATAAACAGTTTCAAAACATTACAATAAAATGGACTTCAAGTTATTATGGTATTCAAGGCATGTATACTTCATATTGTTACTCAAATAGGATCTCAGTGTTAAGTTACAAAAAGAAAAGGGCTCGGTGCCTATGTGGCACTTTTTTCTTTTGTGTACCATTGAATGTCACTTTGGCTGCTACAGTATGCCTCAAAGGGTTGATTGACTGATACCATATCTAAATGTCAACTAATCTTATCAGTGCTATGATATATACAGTATTTATAAAAACAAGGAAAAGGCCAATGTTCAACCTGCCAGAAATACATTTACAATGGCGAATAACTCAAAACTGCATTTATTATTTGACACTGCTACAAAGTCTATGACAAATTCTCAGGAGATCCATATTGGGTTAAGACATTGGTTACAACAAGTATGATAATGGATATTCTTATACCTATAGGTACAGCATGATGTAAACCGACTGGCAAGCAACAAAGTGTGAAGTGGTTCATAGGAAATATACCAGGCAACTATAATAAACAGGCAAATGTATAATATGCAGTTACCTAAAGCAACCAACATGGTTTAGATGCTCAGATATAAGATTAATTGAGATTCAATGTATTGTAGGGGATTATGTATCCAATATTTAAAAAACAAACAAAAAAAACACACTTAGAAGATTTGTCAGGCAAGGTTAACGTTATTGCTAGGTTTGCATTTACATCTGTCCATGGGTTCCAATGGAAATAATGCAATGAATTACAATCATGGTTGAAACAAAGGGAAGTTAAAAGGGTGCAGTATGCTGTTCCAGTATTACATGTAGCTTGTTTATTCTTACTTTGTATCTTTCTCAGAACATTTCAGGTAAACACAGCTATACCCTGTAGAATTTGAAAAATTATGCCCGTTTCTGTCAGTTATGCTTTATACTCCTTATTCACAACTAGTAATATGCCGACATGTCCTGTCAGATAAAATTCAGTTAAAATAGTGTACTTGGACAATCAATGCTATTTGCCATATTTTTGTAATGGTATAATTGATGTACACAAAGTATGCTGTACTTGTATTGGAACCTTTATTTAAAGCCATACTCGAGTCTAGGCAACATTGAAATAAACAAGCAGCTCTTGCCTGCAATACTCATATCCTCTCTGAAGTTGTCTCCCGCAGTGCCTCTTCTATGCCACAAGATGTCCCAAGTCTTACAGGTGGAATGACACCCATTCAGTCTTGAAGACTGAGGACATACTGTTGGGGCTCGTTGACCTGTCTCTTTAAAGGGCATCACCACAGCACCCGGAAATCACAGTATAATAATGCAGAGAGTGGTGCTGATGTCATCTTTTCCATGCCACTCTTAGCATAACTGAGGATCACCCACCACAGGGGAAGATCCTAAGAGGAAGAATATCTTGCACATTAAGTGTCCCCTAAAGACATATAGAGGAAGAAAAACATATAGTGTGGGTCTCTAGGGGAGAGGGCATTGAGTAAGGGAAGCTGAATTTGTGCATTAATTACATACCTCTTTCCTGAATAAGACTCAGTGAGCTTGTTTTGAATTTTAGTATCCCAACTTCAATCTTCTGTGCAGTGGGTAAACATTTCAGTGAGATTAGAACCTCTCCAATAATATCCTATATAAAAAAAGGAGGACAAAATTAACACAAAAAAAACCCACAACACTTGCATTATAAAGTGACCACCTCTAGAAGCCTAAATACTAATTCGGATTTCCAATAGAACATTCGCAGGGCTATTTACTAAAGAGTGAAGAGTTTGGAGAAGGCAGGAGAAGTGAACAATCTAGGACAAAATAACTGTTTTTGGAAAAATTCTCCAATTCAGCTCACTTTCCAGTTCAGCCATTTTGTCCCAGATTGTTCACTTCTCCTGCCTTCTCCAAACTCTTCACCCTTTTGTGAATAGCCCTGCCTGTGTCTCCTAAATCTCAGTGTTCTCTGCTATGCAAATATTGACTATTTAGGTTGAGGGCTTGGTCCCACCTTCTCCTGCAGGCCATGCCTCAGTACTGGTGAGTGAGGCCTCTTATAGTGAATACCAAGGGCCTGTAGAATAAGATGGTATTTACACATTTTTATTTTTTGCACAATATTTGTGGTTTAGCAAACCTATATTTTCAGTGAAAAATACACTATTAGCGTGGTGTAGAAGTGATCGGGTAGCTTAATACTTTTACGTTATAGCCAGGGGGCAGCTGAGCAATTTTAAAACAAGCAGATTTAAGGAGTAAATGTGGAAAAAAAAGTCACAAAGTGTACAGGACACATGGCATATAATAAGGATAGGGTAAAAAAATATGACAGATGGAAAAAAGGGGAAGAAACAGAATATCAGGAAATTGCTTGTTTTACATTTGACTCCGGTGATGTTCTCATACGTGTCATCAATTCAGTCCACCATCAAAAACAATGCTCACATTGACTGCACTGAAAATCAGACATAACATTATGACCACTGACAAGTAAAGTGAATAACGTTGATTATCTTGTTACGATGGCACCTGCAATTGGGGGTATATATTAGGCAGCAAGTGAACATGTTGTTCCCGAAGTTGATGTGTTGGAAGCAGGAAAAATAGGCAAGCATAAATATTTGAGCACCTTTGACAAGGGTCAAATTGTGATGGCTAGACGACTGGGTCAGAGCAACTCCAAAACTGCAGCTCTTGTGGGATGAAGAAGAAGATTCAATTGAACTTTAACAACTACTCCAAATGGGTATGTAAACCCTAACGATGAACACATCCATTTGCTCAGAAAGCACTTCTGTATAGTGTTATAGCTTGCCATTAAGCCCCATATTTGTAGTGTGTGTTGGAGTAGTTGAGGAAGAGTTGACAGTTTGTGTATAGTTAATTGCTATACAGTGCTATACTGTAATTCATTACTGTGGATTGCAGTGTGGTAGGCTACATATTTTCTCTCTACTGCCTGTGCTCACAGTTCAAAGATAATAGTGAGCGTTGACAAACCGCAAACTGTGACCAGAGAATGGGGGAGTAGTACTGAACACTGTGCCACCCTCATTTTCTCCAGAATTCACAACTTGGTAACAAAAACAGTCAGATCCAAATCTCATGTTTTTGATAGGCAGTCATGCCATGTGACAAAACCACAATCTAGCCTCATTTGACATAGCATAGGCAAACTAAAAAAGAATTCAGAGATGTCATAAACCTGCATTCACCAGAAAATACTTCTAATGAGGTCCTGTTGTAAATGGCCCTGTAGTGAACAGTCTATTCCACAACTCCTGATGTGATGGAGTTACCTCTCTAAAAAGTGGCTAAATGCTTGTAAAATGCAATACTAACCAGTTAGATGTCAAACACAACTATATATTACAAGGTCCAAAAGACTAATAATACCCATTAGACCCCCTAAAAGAAATATTTATAAGATAGAGGCAGGGTACTTTGCTTTTTCTGTCCCACACTGGCTGTGCTATACAGCTACAGCATATTCAGTGGCTAACAAAGGTATCTTCTTCTTCTTCATCCCAGGCACAAGGCAGCTAGTTGTCTGTAACAACCTGCTCTTCACTCTCCGGCTCTTCTGCTAATTCTGACACAGCCCCACGAACTGGCAATGGAGTCAGCGGAATTATTTGATCTGTAGTGTACTTGTTGTAGGATGATAATCTTGGTCATGCGCAATCATTCCTCCTTTCAGATACTGAGGAAGAGAATGCCATGACTATATAGGGAGGGGATGTCAATCAGGGAGCAGCAAGAGGCAGTGATCTTACAATAGCTGGAGCTTACTGTAAAGTGGGTTCCAGTGATGAGGAAGGGGTGGATAATGAGTTGGCATACTGTTCATGTGTGCTACTGATTGGAGAGGAGAAAAGTTCTGATGGACCGGCAGAACAGCAACAAGAGAAATTTTGTCCAGGGACAGGGGTCAGACAGTAATGAGGTATGATTATCCCAAAATTGATTTAGAAAACACCATCATCCTTATTCTGTTTTAGATTTAGTTCAACATGAGTTTATTAGAACATTTTTGAATACAAGACAGAGATCAAATAAAAACTAAGGTGTAACAGAAAGGCGCCCCTAAAGGGACTTGGTGTACAATTGCATCAATGCAGGCAACATCATTCTTGAATGAGGACAAAGTCAGGACAAATGACAGTACATCCCAATCTTTAGCGGAGGTTATAATTAGCACTTAGACCAAGCCACTGTATGTGCCACATCTCACAAACCCCACATCCTGAGAGTCTCAAGGAAGTGACTAGAAAATTATTTGAAGCAGAGTCCCCTTATCAGAGAGGACTACAGGGCTGGGGAAGTGGGCTCTGAGTATGACACACGATAGGGACAGAGACAAAAAGAACAAAACAGCCAGAATAGAACCCCCAGAAGGAGAAGAGTCACAAAGTAAAGAGAAAAGAGTAAGAGGATGAGACCAGAAAAACAGAAAGAAAAAACATACCGAAGGGCGGAAGGATTCTCACCCTCCGCAAGGAGACCAAACATAACCGAGGGACCGGTAGCTCATTAAGAGATAGACCCCATGAAGCCATCTGATGTTCGAAAGGCGATCCAGGTGGACCAGGTGAGAACATATTTATCTCCAGCATCACGCTCCTCGGCCAAAAGGCCCTCTTTGTCTGCTATATGATCCATCTACAAAGCCCATTCTGCAAGTGTAGGGGCAACCGATGTACGCCAGTGGCGTGGGATAACCGTCCTGGCAGCCGTGAGATAGTGCCTCAAGAGGCCTCTCTTCGCCAGCTTAAGCGAATCACTGACAGCAAGAATATGTTGGGATCATTAACAATTTGGTATCTGTCACTCTGTTTTAGATTTAAATCTTGTCTGTAGGATCAGCTGGAAATTGGCACATGTCATAAGTTCTCATAAAGTCTGGAAACTTCAACCTCAGATGTACTAAACACACTCTGTTAGTCCATTTCACCAAAGCAAACCGCTAATAGAATATAGGATCAATTCTGAAATCATATTTTACTTAAAGATCAAAAAAAAAAACATGAATTGTATAAGATACTTTTTTCATGTATCTGAAAACACACCTTGCAATTTGTTCACAATTTTATATTTTCATTATTAGACAGATACATTGCAGAAAGTAAAATAGATACCTTAGTTTTCGCTTGCAAATCTTCACAAAACTCCAAGGTTTCAGACGTTTTTAGATCTTTTAGTGCCACCTTTGCTTCTCCAATAAGAGTGTGTCTGGAATACTTGTCAAAGTCTTTGACCTAGTTTACAAAATCAAATAGGTGAAACTTCTGTTGGTGATTAACCTTCCAAAATAAAATTCATAACATATTTATAGAAGCTGCTGTCTCTTAAAAATTAAAAGTTCTTATTCTTTATCTAAATGCTGTATACCTGTGTATTTATGAACCTTAAGCGGGTTATGGGGTTTATATATTATATATAAAAGACCCTGATCCCTATTATACCAGCAGTGACCTTCAAAATTGACTATATTATCTGAATCCTGTGTCTGGAAAAAGGCGGATTATTTACAATTTTTGTAGATGAATGAAGTGGGCACAAATAAACAGTAGGGAAAATTCCTAAAAAATTAACTGTACTATATTTTAAAAGCTGAATTCCAGACAGACAGGGACACCAAGAGAGGGTTACAGGCAGTCCTCCTGTACCAGGCCTGGGCCCCATTGGGTCAGCTGGGGCCTGGCAGGGGCTGTCTGACCTGCCCCAGCTCAGTGCCAGCAGCTGCTCTAAGGAGCTGCTGCTGTAACAAGACCATTGAGAAGAAGACAGGACACCTACCTAGGTAGGTGTGTGTGAGAGCTTAGATAGGGGTGGTATGTTAGTGTGTCCGTTTGAAGACTGCCAAAGCCACGTGACTGTGTTGCAGAATCCAGCAGCCGCAGCGGCTGTTCCGTGATTCCAATGGCTCCATCTTCCAATGCTGCCACCAACTCCGACAGTGTCTTTACGAGCCGTGAACCTGCTGCATGGGGATTTGCATTGGACAGGGTCATCTGTTGGCTCTGGGTCACAGTAGTAGCAGTCTCATGCCCAGCTCAGGGATGGGCAGCCTCGCAAAGGGTAGCTATGCAAATCAGAGAGAAGGGACAGTCCAGGTGGACTTTTACTACTGCTACAGAATTGGGGAGGCAGTGGCATCAGGAACAGTGAACAGCAGCATAAGTCCAGCAAAGTCCAATAGTCACATCAGCAACAAGTGTACCAGCAGCATCATCCACTACAAAAAGGGATGGGACAAACTCTGCTTGGAGGCCAAAAAAATCATCTAAAAAAGCACTAAAAGAACAAAAAGGGGAATACAAGTACATACACAGACTGCTTCTGCTAGGCAAGAGACTTTATGGGCAGATAATCTTTGCATTTCTGCAGCCAGCTGGGATGTTTAATATGAGTTTTTACTCACTGAGCCTGTCCGCTTTATGTTGCCCTTGAGCTTCAATGATTGGCCTGCATCCTTGTGCATTTCATTCTACATCCCCTGTTATGCTAAAGGCATAAATGCCTACTCCAGGTGATCTGATAAAGCAAGGGATGGAAGTGCACATAGCTGTTTAATAACTGTGTACTATTTAATCTTATAGGAAATTATCTCCATGTGATTAGTGTATGTGTGTTAATTTAAATCTGTGGTATGGGGGCCCTGTCAGGTAAGCTGTGCGGCCTCCAATGATGTCTAATGGCAGTCCTACAGGCAATTATACAAAATTAAATTGGGTTTAATACTCCAAAGTACAGTACCGTGAGAGTTCTCTCATCATATTCATAATGGTCATACTTACAATATTCACAATAATTTAACTCCTGCCAAACAAAGTCCTTGTCACTCCTAGGTCATCTGTTCAACATTTTAACCGTGGTTATTCAGGCAAATAACTCACAAAACTCATCATGGAAAAACTTTGATGCATACAGCACAAATATTTCCTTAATCATAATGCTCATAATCACAATACGCCACTAGATGTCCTCAATCTTCTAGACTAATTGATGCCCAGCATAATTTAGCCCAAACATAGAGGACATCCTGTGATTGCAAGGAGTTATGGCTCCACCATGGCATCTTGCACTCTAGTACAGTGATGCAGAGAGCGGCGCTGACCTCATCACCTTTTGCAGGACTCTCTGAATTGGAGACTGCTCAAAAGAGGAAGAGTTCTGTCACGTAACATGAACAAGGTAAGTAAAAGAATAAGGTAATAAAAGAATAAAAAGGAAAACATGCAGCTGGTTGGCCTCCACTGAGTTGGGCAGAGGGAAAAAAACCATGTCAACCTTTTCACTGATGACTAGTTTAAGAGCCATTTGCCAGAATATTAATAAAGGGTTTACTAAGCTCAGGAGTTAAGTCTTAAATGCATCCAAGTACCTTAACTATTAACAAAAATGTTATTATTTGTGTATCAGTCAACTATTGTTCCCAATGGTCCCTGTGAGTGTTCTCCAAGCTCCCACCCATAATGGACTACAATTTCAAAAAAATAAGCAAAATTGAAGTCTATCACGGGAGCGAGCTTGGAGCAGAGGCTACTACAACACACACAGGAACCATGGGGAACAAAAGTAGCCATCCTCCAGAATGAAGGACAGTGTCAGCACCAATTCAGAGATGATTTGAGGATCTACAGTCGAGTGATACACAAATAAAATACAGTTTTGTAATTGAAGAATTATTTGAAGAATGTTTTTGGTAAATATGAAGCACGCAAAAATATATTCTATATTTATTTATTATTACCATTACTACTACTACTTTTATTTTTGTATAAATTTAATAGTTTCCGTTCACTTTTATGATCCTGTCCTACATGACCTTCCAGATCCCAAACTCAAGTGCTACATAACTTGATGTAGAAAGTCAACAAAAGATTTCTTTTCAAGCATATGTAAAGCCAACTTTACATATCCCGGTCTGTTTTGTTTTCTTACAGTCTGTGTTCCTCACTTCCTGTCTAACAGAAACAACTGGAAGTAAGTGGAGATCTTCTCAAATGTAGGGGCTATCTCCTCTTAGACATCTGCCACCAGAACAGGTTTTCCCATTGGAACATTTACCCACACTTCCTGTCCCTGTGTCAACTCCAAAAACGTTGGATTTCTGATCACTTTCTGTACCAAAGACAATGGACACTAGGAAATAGGACACTAGGACACTAGGAAATAAAGAAAGGGTGACTCTCTAGCAGGTATCCAGACAGCAATGAAAGCCTAACCAAGGCTCTAACCCTTCCACAATCTATCCAATACTTAAAAAACGTTTTTTCATTACACACATTTTAGCTTTGCACACATTGTTGAAGCCAGTGATTTACATAATCCATACCTCTAATTTTAAAATGATGTTTGACAGATGGTAATTCTTTAAAGATAATGAGAAGTCTTCATCAAAGACAGGGTTTCTACTGTTTTTCACCACCCTTGTTTCACATTCATGAAGAATAGACTGCACATCCGACTGTGGCTCATCTACTTTGGAGAAGACTCTTATCCTGACAAAGGGGTCCCTGCTGTTGTCTGGTAAGTCTGTGGCTTCAATAACACTGAGAAGCAAGGTCATGGTCTTCTTACACAAATTAAGAGAAAACTTAAGCTTCCCTCTGGAGTCATGTGGACGATCACAGTCACTGCCCAGGTCATCCAAACTTTCTGTGCTTGGAGGAGACGGTGATAAATGCACTTCCAGCTTTTCCATTTCCTTCTGCATGAGTTGGATCTACAAAAAAACAAAGCTAGTAATGATTTTTGAGCATTCATGGATAGGTTTTTACATTTTTGTGTAGTACAATTGAAAACAATAGCAGATTAAATAATTATTTTCCAACACAAGATGGGAGCATTAGAAATATATTAAAGCCCAACTGAACCTTTAATATTTATTACTGAAATGCAGCCAGGCTGCAGCTTATCTTTTTTACTCCTCAGTTGGTAAGTGCTGCAGCAATCTGGAGAGTTCGATCGTGGTTCTCCCACGCAAAGCAGCGGCTGTGCTCTCCTGTGTACAACCACAGCAAAGGCGGGCTGCTGCTTTGTGTGGGAGAACCACATTATGACTCTCTAGATTGCAGTAGCACAGAGTATTTTAACCATATTCTGTATCACTTGCCAATTTAAGAGTGAATGAAAATTAGACTTGTGTGCCGTCAAAAAATTTGTTCTGTTTCGTTTAAGAATTTCGATTCGTAACGAAACGCACATGTCTAATGAAAATAAGATTAATTACTGTATACGCAGACTGGCTGTCTTACAATAATAAATAATGAGGGCTTAATATGGCTTTTAAAAATAAAAAAAACTTGCCTTTGAGTCCTGCTCCTTCCTGGCGGTCTCTAGGAAGCCAGGACTTAAACTTTTCACTAAAATATTATTTCCTTCAGTCTTCTTTGAAACACTTGAGGCATTGATGAACTTTGTGTCTGTAATAAAACCAAATTAATTAGGATAATGAAAATATGATATTAATAATACAAAATGCTTGTTTTCAGTCAAGAACACCATCACGGACTTAAGACAGAGGCTGTAAAGGACATGCTATTGCCCAAAATAAAACTATATATGTGTAGTTTACAAATTATAAGAATCTAAAAGCTTGATTGACAAAAGAATTTACAGATTTTGGATGATTTCCTCAGGGACCTTAATATACAGGGGTACAAGTACTCTTAAGAATCACACAGGGACCTACACATACTGTGATGTTTGGGGAACTTAGCAGGTATGGTGAGTGCTTAAGGAACAGTCTTGAAGCCGTTTTAAACATAAACAGGACAGGCTTTTATTTCATTCAGCAACAGAAAATAAAACTTCAACAATAATACATGTCCGCTTGTATTTCAGCAAAACTGAAGGTATGACAATCTCACCAACTCCAGGTTGTTGCACATACTCCTTGTGTCCCAGTCGCTGGACCTTAGGGTATTTCTTAACAGAGCCACCGTCCACCTCTCGTGGCACTATTAAACACATCCCTCATGTGTTACTGGCTCTCTGTCTCCTCGGCTGTCTTCTAGGTGCCTCCAGCACACACAGCCACCTGACTCCCCTCTGATGTCTGGGTGGAGTCCTCCTGACTCCTGAACACCTCTGTTCCTCTTCCCAGCTGGAGCCCAGAACACTAGCCAGCACACTTCCCATAAGTGCTGTGCACAGGTGTGCAATTAGGTGCTGGCCACTACTAAACAATGGACCCAGGAATGGAGATTTCACCCCTCCCAATTCTCTTAGAAATCTCCCAGGTCCAGGATCCCATGCCAAATCCAGAAATCCTGGGAAGAGTAACAAAGTCAGCTCTTTCCCAGTACAAGAACTTGCCTCCTGGAACCGCTCAGCCCCTCTGGGTGACTACAACCCCCAGTTCTACCGTGCGATTGCCACACAATACCACAATACGCACACATCTGTAGAACCATATACATGCACACGGTAGGTTGGACTTGATGGACCTGTGTCTTTATTCAACCTCAAATACTATGTAACTAAGATTGAGTGAAATTCTCCTGCAATTCTGAACACTCAAAGGATTATACCCCATCAGCTTTATAACCTTCTTGTAGCCAGTAGAAGAGCCCCTACTGCCAACCAGTCTGATAGTAATCTAAGAACGCCATTCTATCTTATACAGTATGCATGATTGCCACATAAAACTGTTTTTTTCAGTAAGTGAGGGTACAGTGAAAGTCTTGAAGCTATCAAACCCTATAAAACTCCAAGAACCGTGGGAAGACAATACATGCAAAGTTCACAAGTAGAGCAGGATTTCCATTTGAAGTGGCTATTGTATCCTTTAAAACCTTAAAGGATGGCAATGTTTTAAACTTAGATTTGGCAGAAATCATTTTAATATTGCAAAGGCAAAAAAAAAATATTTTTCCTTGGCCCTATAAAAAGCAATCACATCCTTTGCTAGCTATAATAACAATACAAAATCAATCACACAAAATATAAACTGTAATCCATGCAGTAGAATTCGATAAGGCTTTTTAATTCTTGAATATCGAAAACTTTCCCAGCAAAAAATCTAAGGGGTAAAATTTGTAAAATGTAAGAATTGCCTTCAGTAAAATGGTAAAACAATTGTAAGAACAGTAACTAAAGTCAGTTTTATTTGTCATTACGGTGGATCAAGGATGTAGATAGGAAGAAAGGTGAGGTTTGCCAGGGTTTTCACTCTTTTTCTATATATCCTGCTGTATTGTTCTTACCTTTCACAATAGAAGATTTATACTTATAGTACTGGTGCACCTTGCACGCTAAAATAATCAGTGCAATCAGGAACAATGCTATGGCAAAGGCCAACAAACAGTATTTTAAAGTATCAGAGACTGGCAGAAATATCTGGAAGGAAGGTAATTGGAAGGCCATGGTCACTAAAATACAGAGAAAGCAGCGTTAGACCATTTATTCTAAAAATAAGGAAAATTTTTTGAAGCTGAACTCCAGACAAGCAGTTAATCTTGTACCGAAATTTACACAGTTTTGCCCCACAGCACTATCTAGCAAGAGCAGGAAACCTGATTCTTCTCAGCTGCAGTTAAGACTTACAGGTTTTGTCCCTCCCCGAGCTTGTGACTTGACAGTGAAAGTAGAAGCAGCAGACCGATGAAGTCTTCTGTCACACTGCTATCTTCTCCCATCAGCATGTCTCCTAATGTACATGAGAAGTGCAGCACAAATGATTGGCTCATTGTGCTGCTTCTCCCTCTCCCAGTCTGATACACAGGGACTGCAAGAGGCTAATGCTAGATTCAGGTACTTACAATGCTTTCATTAAAAAAAAAATATATATATATATAGCAATAATTACAGAGCAGTTGCACCAATTTATGTATTTTATAGTTGCCTGGAGTTTAGCTTTAAAATAATCTAGTACAAGCACACAAACAAGAGCACTTACACTTTTGGTAGGGACAAGTTTACTTGACAGCTGTCACTGGAGCATTTTGCTGGTTGGTTAATCAGTTCTGCAAATCACAACAGTCCACATTAAAATAAGTGGTTCTAGTGTTCAATAATGTATTTAAATTAACAGCATCGAAGCCGGAGTATATTATTTATTTAATGGATTTTAACCAAGAATCACAGAGACTCGTATCAAATTTTTTATTGGCTTCCTGTTAGTGGTAGATAGACAATAATGCTTCCATTTTTACATGTCCTTAACACTGGTAAGAGATTGGTGGAATATAAAAAGAAGCGCTTAAGGGTGCATTCCAGGCACCCAGCCCTGACCACCAATGTTAAGGGGTGTAAAAAGGGGTGCATTATAAAAACTCTTATAGCATTGGTGGCTACTGCAAAAAAACAATAACAAGCTGTAGTCAAGTATAGTGAATAAGTCACTCCATTGGCCACCGGTTGCAGGCAAGGCTACATAGAGACTCCCAGGGCCAGCCAAAGGCTTTTAGGCACCCTGTGTGAGAAAGCGTCACAGTGCCCCTCAGTGGCCACACTCATTTCTCCAATACCCGCAACATTTAAAGACTCTCATTTTGTTAAGCCTCAAAGAAACAGATTAAAAAGTATGACAAAAATAAAACTTTATTCAAAGGTATTGAACTTGTAAGCACAATAAGAGTATTCGTATTAAATAAACCATCAGTAGGCACACAAGTGGTAAACACTAAATGTCAAACTAAAATAGAGTCTATAAAAATAGATTCCTTTTTTCAAGTAATTGTATGTAGAAAAGTAAAAAAAGAACACAAAACCTAGACGACATGTTAAATAGCGCATACTATTTACTAAAACAGAGTGCATGGAGCACACTGTTGCACGTGTATAATATGTGTGTGTGGTGGGGGGGGGGGGGACCTCATGTGTTACTGGCTCTCTGTCTCCTCGGCTGTCTTCTAGGTGCCTCCAGCACACACAGCCACCTGACTCCCCTCTGATGTCTGGGTGGAGTCCTCCTGACTCCTGAACACCTCTGTTCCTCTTCCCAGCTGGAGCCCAGAACACTAGCCAGCACACTTCCCATAAGTGCTGTGCACAGGTGTGCAATTAGGTGCTGGCCACTACTAAACAATGGACCCAGGAATGGAGATTTCACCCCTCCCAATTCTCTTAGAAATCTCCCAGGTCCAGGATCCCATGCCAAATCCAGAAATCCTGGGAAGAGTAACAAAGTCAGCTCTTTCCCAGTACAAGAACTTGCCTCCTGGAACCGCTCAGCCCCTCTGGGTGACTACAACCCCCAGTTCTACCGTGCGATTGCCACACAATACCACAATACGCACACATCTGTAGAACCATATACATGCACACGGTAGGTTGGACTTGATGGACCTGTGTCTTTATTCAACCTCAAATACTATGTAACTAAGATTGAGTGAAATTCTCCTGCAATTCTGAACACTCAAAGGATTATACCCCATCAGCTTTATAACCTTCTTGTAGCCAGTAGAAGAGCCCCTACTGCCAACCAGTCTGATAGTAATCTAAGAACGCCATTCTATCTTATACAGTATGCATGATTGCCACATAAAACTGTTTTTTTCAGTAAGTGAGGGTACAGTGAAAGTCTTGAAGCTATCAAACCCTATAAAACTCCAAGAACCGTGGGAAGACAATACATGCAAAGTTCACAAGTAGAGCAGGATTTCCATTTGAAGTGGCTATTGTATCCTTTAAAACCTTAAAGGATGGCAATGTTTTAAACTTAGATTTGGCAGAAATCATTTTAATATTGCAAAGGCAAAAAAAAAATATTTTTCCTTGGCCCTATAAAAAGCAATCACATCCTTTGCTAGCTATAATAACAATACAAAATCAATCACACAAAATATAAACTGTAATCCATGCAGTAGAATTCGATAAGGCTTTTTAATTCTTGAATATCGAAAACTTTCCCAGCAAAAAATCTAAGGGGTAAAATTTGTAAAATGTAAGAATTGCCTTCAGTAAAATGGTAAAACAATTGTAAGAACAGTAACTAAAGTCAGTTTTATTTGTCATTACGGTGGATCAAGGATGTAGATAGGAAGAAAGGTGAGGTTTGCCAGGGTTTTCACTCTTTTTCTATATATCCTGCTGTATTGTTCTTACCTTTCACAATAGAAGATTTATACTTATAGTACTGGTGCACCTTGCACGCTAAAATAATCAGTGCAATCAGGAACAATGCTATGGCAAAGGCCAACAAACAGTATTTTAAAGTATCAGAGACTGGCAGAAATATCTGGAAGGAAGGTAATTGGAAGGCCATGGTCACTAAAATACAGAGAAAGCAGCGTTAGACCATTTATTCTAAAAATAAGGAAAATTTTTTGAAGCTGAACTCCAGACAAGCAGTTAATCTTGTACCGAAATTTACACAGTTTTGCCCCACAGCACTATCTAGCAAGAGCAGGAAACCTGATTCTTCTCAGCTGCAGTTAAGACTTACAGGTTTTGTCCCTCCCCGAGCTTGTGACTTGACAGTGAAAGTAGAAGCAGCAGACCGATGAAGTCTTCTGTCACACTGCTATCTTCTCCCATCAGCATGTCTCCTAATGTACATGAGAAGTGCAGCACAAATGATTGGCTCATTGTGCTGCTTCTCCCTCTCCCAGTCTGATACACAGGGACTGCAAGAGGCTAATGCTAGATTCAGGTACTTACAATGCTTTCATTAAAAAAAAAATATATATATATATAGCAATAATTACAGAGCAGTTGCACCAATTTATGTATTTTATAGTTGCCTGGAGTTTAGCTTTAAAATAATCTAGTACAAGCACACAAACAAGAGCACTTACACTTTTGGTAGGGACAAGTTTACTTGACAGCTGTCACTGGAGCATTTTGCTGGTTGGTTAATCAGTTCTGCAAATCACAACAGTCCACATTAAAATAAGTGGTTCTAGTGTTCAATAATGTATTTAAATTAACAGCATCGAAGCCGGAGTATATTATTTATTTAATGGATTTTAACCAAGAATCACAGAGACTCGTATCAAATTTTTTATTGGCTTCCTGTTAGTGGTAGATAGACAATAATGCTTCCATTTTTACATGTCCTTAACACTGGTAAGAGATTGGTGGAATATAAAAAGAAGCGCTTAAGGGTGCATTCCAGGCACCCAGCCCTGACCACCAATGTTAAGGGGTGTAAAAAGGGGTGCATTATAAAAACTCTTATAGCATTGGTGGCTACTGCAAAAAAACAATAACAAGCTGTAGTCAAGTATAGTGAATAAGTCACTCCATTGGCCACCGGTTGCAGGCAAGGCTACATAGAGACTCCCAGGGCCAGCCAAAGGCTTTTAGGCACCCTGTGTGAGAAAGCGTCACAGTGCCCCTCAGTGGCCACACTCATTTCTCCAATACCCGCAACATTTAAAGACTCTCATTTTGTTAAGCCTCAAAGAAACAGATTAAAAAGTATGACAAAAATAAAACTTTATTCAAAGGTATTGAACTTGTAAGCACAATAAGAGTATTCGTATTAAATAAACCATCAGTAGGCACACAAGTGGTAAACACTAAATGTCAAACTAAAATAGAGTCTATAAAAATAGATTCCTTTTTTCAAGTAATTGTATGTAGAAAAGTAAAAAAAGAACACAAAACCTAGACGACATGTTAAATAGCGCATACTATTTACTAAAACAGAGTGCATGGAGCACACTGTTGCACGTGTATAATATGTGTGTGTGGGGGGGGGGGGGGGGACAAACATTTCCCTTTTGAAATAGAGAAAGAAATCGAGTCCTCAATCTCTTTTTCTGCAGCCTCAGCACTGAAGGAATGTAATGAAGCCTCTGTACTGAGCTGCTTCTACCCATTCAGCAACTCATGAACAGGAAGTGATGTAAAGCACTTCCTATTCATTCATAACTAGGGACACATACTACTTAAAACATTGGAGTGATCAGCGTTACCATGGTGCACTGTGCCCTCATGAACCATGTCTGTACTGAACCTATGCAATATAACAAATGGCAGAAGGTTTTCCTTGGTGATTTGACAAAACTAACCGACTCAGATAGGAATAGAGTCCTAGGAGGAGGAGAGCCTTGCATTCTCAACCTGCACCAGCAGTACAGCATTGTTTCACTAAAAGGGGGCACTGATGAATATGATAAGTGAACATCTTTACAATCCCTACTCAGAAATGAATGTAACAGGGCCCCATCCTGCCCCTGGCCCCACAGTAGCCACCTGGCTATAGTTACATCTGTGATTTACATCTTTTTGTTGGGGGTTGGATAGGTTTATAAAACCTTGTAAGGAGTTGTTGCCTCACAACATGCAAACTAGTACAACATATGCATTTAAAATGTATATTAAATTACATGATGTTCACAGTCCTCAGCAGACCATTGCTGGATAATCCTCCAAAATCTTCACCAACACTCACTGGGGGAGGCTGCCATCCACAAAGACAACTGGGAAGTATTCTCATTAACCATGCAAAAAACAAACAGAAGGACAGTGCCCTTTCCTCGTGTGATAACATTTATTCAATGCAAAATGTTTACAAATAAAAAAACTACTCACATGTAGATGATGGAGACAAGCGGTATAATAAACCATACATGCAGGGCAAAGCACCTTTGGCTCTGCCCTGCACGTATTGTTTATTATACGACTTGTCTCCATCATGTACATGCAAGTAGTTTATTTGTACACATTTTGCATTGAATAAACGTTATCACATGAGGAAAGGGCACTGTCCTTCTGTTTGTTTTTTTATATTAAATTAATAACATGCATGTAAAATTAAATGCTTGTTTTAATTACCAATGCTTCTGTCCATCCCATTTGACACACGATATCTTGTTTTGACGTCATTTCTGGGTCCATGCTCGGCTTACACCTACAAATAGAATTTTAATGCAAAATGTTAATGATATGACTGTATATAAAATTTAGCAGCATACTGAAGTTTATTGCTGGGAACGCAGTACCCTTTATCACAGTGTAGGGTTTTCAGCTCCCAAAACAATTGTAAAAAAATGATATGTTAAAATATTAACCCCTTCGTGACGGGAGACGTACACTGTACGTCCAGCCACAAAGGGACCAAATGACTCGTCACGTACACTGTACGTGACGAGTTATTTGCTGCACTAGAAGGCTGCTAACCGCTGAGAATCAGCGGTTACCTTTCAGTAATAGATGTCTAACTATCTAGAGATCCATTACTGAAAGGGTTAACCTTTTTCAGACACCCGATACCTTAATATCGGGTGTCTGAGAGTCACAGCAAAGCAGACACACATGTCGGCTTTTGCCGGCATTCTGACAGCTCGTATAGATCGAGAGATATCTCTCTCAAGCTATACTGGCTTTTTTTTTTTTTATCTTTTGACTTTCAAGAATAGATACAAAATGTTATGTATTAGACACATAATGTATCTATTCTTGAAAGTAGAATGTTTAAGTTTTCTGAAACATTCACTGACAGCTGAATCCTGAACTGCTGCAGGATCAGTGTCACTAACTTATTATCGGCTGTTCTGAAGTTTGAAGCAGCCTGATAATAAAAAAAATGTATTAATTTATCAAGCAGTAATAGTGAGATTAATTCACAATGACTGCCTGATATAATTAAATAAATAAAATTTGTCAGTATAAAAAAAGTGAAAAGTGTAAATAAATTTAAAAAAATAGTGAAAAGTGTAAAAAAATTAAAAATAAGGGACAAATAAATGAATGTATGTATTGCATTTTTTTTAGCTGTGCTGGTTTTGTTAAAAAAAAATACTACAAATCAAAACTGGGAAAAAACGTTTTTTTTTACGTTTTTTCCTCTTTTTTTAATTTGTATTTATCCTAAGTGAGGCGTTAGACACACATATGTGATATAAATATATAGCCCTATCTGTCCTCTAAAAAACAATATATAATATGTGTGGGTGCACTTTGTAAGAAAGTATATTACTGACGTGGAAGAATCACACAGCAAAAATGTCAAAAGTGTGTCAGTCATTTACGAACAGAAACCAAAAACAAGCTCAGTCATGAAGGGGTTAAAAAAAGGGGAGAAAATAAGAGAAATTCATAGTTAGGGTTTACATATACTTGTGAACCTGGCCTAAAACATTTCAAATACATGATGAAGTGCAGATACCTTGTGATGCTTTGAAGAGCATGTATTATTGCTGAAATCAATTCCTTTGTCTTGGGAGAGCCATTTGGATCTTTGGTCTAGGCTTTGCATGGAGACTTGACTCCAACCTAACCTGAGATTAAGCTCTGCTTGTGGCCCAATCTCAACTTGTATTGGTTTGAAGAAGACTAGCACACCTACCTTTCAGCACAGTTATTACTTTGAAAATGTTTTAGGCCAGGTCAAGTTCATTTTAACCCTTTTCCTAACACAAACATAACCGTTAAATTGAATATTCACCATATTGGGTAGGAGTCAAGGTCCTATGTCTAGCTTGAGCCTAGAATCCAAGGGACCAAACAGAGAATGAAAGCATTTTTGACAAAGTCAAATTCACTTTACCCTTAGCCCGACACAAAAGTATGGCAAGTAAATACTTGCCATATTGGTACCAAAAATATGTTGCATACAATCCTTACAGCTCTAGTGCTAATATCATAGTGGAAAAGTAAAATTATTTAATAACTGAAAAACAAAATAGCTGGATTAGCGAGGTACTCAAAGAGACTGCATCCCAGCCCATTACAGGACTGGAGTTTGAGTGGCCAGGAGGCAGCAGTAACGGACAGTGACTGCACACAAATGAGTAATTTTGCTGGTCTTATTTCTTGTGAAATCTTTATTGTTTAAGCTTTATTTGCAGCTTGTTAGAAGGGTGGGGGCAGGGAAGGAGACCTTCAATTTGCATAAAAGATCTGCTTTATCGAAATAATTTCTACCCATGCGTTTTACATTTGGTTAATTAGAATTTAGGAATAGTACAAGGAATAGTACTTGTTTCCTCAGCGGTACATTGCATCATTCCAATGCTAATGTATTTTAGGCTGAACTCACAGTAGGTGTTTCAACTGTGTCTTGGCACGGTTCACCCCCTTTGGCTGTTTTGTGTCATGTGAGCACTTTGGCCCAGCACACTGAGGATGTCTAGTAGCAGAAATATAAGTACTGTGGGGGAAAATCTCTGCATTGAATGTAAATATTGAGCAAAAGCTGGTTATTATATCTTAGAATGGGTTATTAATTTTTATCTTGTTATATTGGCTGATATATTTTGAAGGAGTTGTACCCAGGACTGAATAAACGGAAAAATAAGAAAAGGGAATAATATATATATATATAAGTAAATTATTATTTAAGGATTGTTACCCACTAGTTGTCCTCTTTTCTATAAATGGTTAAAATATTGGGTGGATTACTGCTTTAAAAATGAAAAAAAAAATGAGATGCCATAATGTCTACATGTGAGCAGGGATAAGCTACAGTACTGAATTTGCCATAGGAGATGTCTTAGGTTGAATTAGCACTTGCACATTGCAAAGGTGCAGGCATTCCCCAAAAATTTTTTAGCCAGCTAGAAACACCAATCCACTTCTCTTAAAACTGATGTAAAAGGGATTGGGGAGATTGAACAATATCCTTAACATGTGTCTTATTATCACTCACCCTAAATGATGAATCTGTGGTTAACATAACTCCCAACTTTCTGATTTGAGCAAGAGGGACACCTTTACACTGAAATCGTTGTAGTAAACAGTCCAGGATCAAAGCATCAGTACTGTGATTGCTAACGCACAGCTAAATTCACGGAAGGAAAAATCGCAATCGCCGGTGCCACCATTTTATTACACTACTACTTTTCCTTTTTTACTTGCAGATGTAGTTATTAAAATACACCTGGATACACTGTATATAGAAAAAGTATATAGGTGCCCATACACCTTACGATTATCGGACGAAACGCTTCATCCGATGATCGAATAGTCGTACGATTTTCATACGGCAGCCCCATCCTGCCCCGATGATCGCATGATTAATTTAGCCGTAATTAACGAAAAGCACCTGGACGAAATGCGGTAATTGATTTGTCGTATTTTCGTTTGCGCATGCGCAGTGTAGATCGTACGACTTTTGACGGACGGAAACGCCAGCAACCTTACGACAATCGTATGATCGAGCAAAGTTTTCAAACATGCTTGACCGTCAAAAGTCGTACGATTGTACAGTAATGTCGGTCGGACACTGCCATGCACACATACGATTATCGGACGAAAAGTCGATCGCATACGAAAATCATCCGATAATCGTAAGGTGTATGGGCACCTTTAGGATCACATTAGCTCAATCTATTCTAGATAAAAACATTTGAATCACCTGTTGTTTAATAAGAGTTTTGCAACAGTCATGGGAGCATACCAAATCCAACTGCTTCCAGATAAGTGCATTAAGCTAAGTGTTTACTTTTCTAAGGAGTACATTCTTGTTAAGTTAAATAGTTGTAACAAGAGAGTCCAGTTTTATACACTTGGCAAACTTAGCTGGAGTCTGTAAATACTAGCAGTCATACTGCATTACAATTCTTTGATAATACACAGGAGTGAATTTCTAGTCAACTGCTCAGGTGTTAAGAGCAGTCCTTTCTCCTTGTAAGCAAGTGTGTGCGCATTTCTGTGCTCTCTGTCACTGCACCAATGCACTCTTTCCTTTCCAGCCCGTTCTACAAAGAGACACACTTTTACTACTATGCAGTAAAGAAAACCTGCACTGCGAGAAGTACACATGCTGCCACTGATGCCCTCTTTATATAAATGTGAAGCCAATACACCAAATCTGCATACGTCTCCTAAGCCAACAGAGCAGTATGACAGCCAGGCAACTAGCATTTGCAGAAAAAGGGGTCAAAAATTACAGCTCCCATATTACTCTAAAGAGCAACCATATAAACATACATTTCCATTTAGTTTTTTAGTTTATTTAAACATGTTATTTATTAAACTGGCTTTACTTTCCTCTATCATGGACATGTATAACAATCCACCATGTCATCATCTTACATATTCTCACTTCCCAGTTATTTATTAGTCGTCTTAAAATGCACCTGGGGGTTAGGTCTACATGTGAAAGATGTATGACATCACTGGATTGGTGCATGATAAATGGAGAGAATTAGAATGAAACTAGTCACAGCAACAAGTCCTGCAATTGAAATGAACAGAGGGGCCACATAAAATTGCCTCCTGTATATACAGTATAGTCCCATTAGGTACACATAAAAAGGAACATTTTTGAGCTGATTAGTGCCCAATCTGCAACCCTTTGATACTTTTTGTTTGGTCCTCGAACACCAGCAGTCAGTACTGGGAGTAGAATAACTGGCTTGTAAAAATGTTGTACTGGCAGTGATCTCTAGAAGTCTCAAATAACATGTTCCCAAGTCTTGGTCTACTGCAGCAGGTCTCCAGGCATCAACCACTATGGTAGCATTCCATAGTCTCTGACCATCTTCTGAAGAATGCCTACAATCTCTAACAGTCTTCTGTAGCATTACGTATACTGAATATTATGTACTACCTTTCCAGTATGCAGTGTTGCAGGAATGCATGCATTAACACAACTAATGTTAACAAATGTTAGGCTGTTGGGGCACCCCAAAACATTACCCAGTGCATATTGGAAGCACACACTTTGCAGCAAACCACAATGCAAAGTAACAGACTACCATGCATTGTGGTAGCTACATCAGAAAGAAATAGTGCATGTGTGATTTTTTTGTTGTCGGTTCTGGTGCGTTTGCAGCACGTTCTTTTGTGCATGTTTTAGCTTAATGCATTAGTATAAACAGGCGTTAATGGGCCATTAGACTAGAGCTACACAGAAGACTTTCAGTAGTTCAATTGTGTAGCTTACTCCATAGGAAGCCATTTTTC